AAAACATCTTTAGCCGCACAATTAAGAGGAAGGTTGAAAATCAAATTACAAATAGAAAGTGGGAGAACAGAAGATAATTTCTCCATGTCCCAGCTATTATCCGCATAAAAGAAATTAACCTTAACCAAACTCAAAGAAACAGTATTCAAAAGAGAATCAATGGAAAAACCATTAATCCACCGATCTTGCCAAAAATAAATGTTACCTTCCCCAAGGCCCCAAGCTAAACAGGGTTCAACTTTCCATTTAATCTGAACCATACGTTGCCAAACTTTAGAATGCCCTTTAGAGAAATTATAGAGGGACGGATGAAGAACCCCACAATACTTCTCCTGCATAAACTTAGCCCACAAAGTGGCATTAGCCCTAAAATTATACCACAGTTTAAAAGAAAATGCAAGAGCCAAATCAGACATAGATTTGCAACCAAGATCTCCTTCCGGTTTAGTCCCACAACACTTATCCCACGAAGACCAATGAATTTTCGAATTGCTAGAAGATCCCCTCCAAAAAAATTTGTTGAGAATCCTATCAATCCTCAAACACACAATCTTAGGAGGGAAAAGAACTTGAAAAGAATAAACCGGAAACGAAGCCAGAATACTTTTAATAAGAACCAACCTACCACCAAAGCTCAAAAAATTAGAATCCCAAGAAGACAAACGATAAAATTAGACTTAAAAGTCCTTAAACAGATAAAATGCTTCCTAATGCTCTAGAAGCTAAAAATAAAACAAAATAAAGCATATGAGCCAATGATCTGTACTACTTACAAGAGAAATAAAAAAAAGGAAGACAACATGCCATAACCCCAAAAAAACACCCAAGCTCAGATGAAATTATGGAGCACTATTAAGTAACAACATGAATACCTGCATGCATAAAAAGATGAGCTAAAGGGAATACAGTAGCACTAAAAACAAGATACATACGACAAAGAGTGTCAAGCAGCCCATCCCAAAAGTCAGCCCAAGCTTATATCAACATTAAAGCCCAAATAGATTCCATAGGTAATACCTATAACAAATAAACCACAACACACTACAAGGCAACATCAGAATGCTGCTAGAGCACCTAAACCTAACCAAACACCCAAAACCTTAGAAAAATAGGAAAAAAACATCATAAAGAAAAAGAACTGTCACAACATAGCAACAGAAGGCCCAAAAAGAGTCAAAGCCCCCTGAGAACTAAAAAATCCACCAATCAACACCATGCAAACAACCAAGGCTAAAACAAACAACCCCCTGGCACCACCAACAACCCAGCTACTAATGCGTAGGCCCCATGAGTGGGTTTTAATTTAAAAAAAAAAAAAACCCCTAGCTAATAACGCCAACCCAATAGAGCACCCAACAACCCAAGAAAAACAAAATCAGCCCTCGATACCACAACACTACCCAAGATGACCTCCAACAGTACCCCAATACACAGGAAACCCAATGCCTAAGAAACCATGAAAAGAGAAAATATTAAGAAAAAAATCATATAATAACCTTGCCAGTAGCACAAGACACCAAAAAATAATGACCTACATAATCTTATCAAAGTTATGAATATAAGAATTTGATGGTAATTATGACTAAAAAAGCTTTTTAGGATAAGTTCCTTCTTATGAAATCTTATTAAACTAAAAATCTCTATCTTATTAATAAGAAGTGACCACTAATCATCATGAATGAGTATGCTTTTTTTAAATTAAAATCCACGGAGGGGCCTACACGTTAATATAAAAAAATTGTACAATATCCTTAGAAGGAACCTCCAACTCGCTAGTACTCATAAGAGCTACAAGAAAAAGAAAAATAAATCCTAAAAGTTGGTGGTTCCTTATAATAAAGATTACAAGAAAAACTAAATACATTCTAGGGGTTCAAGAAGACAGCACTGAAAAAGGAAGAACAAATGAAGAGCATTCAGCATAATCTTCCTACAAAAAGAATGAGCAAACCTCAAATAACCCAGTAAGCTAGCTGGCCACCTTATCCAACCAGGAGAGCAACGACAGCCACGGTTTGAGAAAGATAGCTCGAGCTCGCTGCAAAATTTGTTGATGATGATGTGGATAACTTTCACCTCCAAGACACAAGTCTATAAAGCAAGAGGGTACAACACAAAAAAATATAATTCAACCAAAGCATATAAAAGTAAATTTGGTTAAAGAATCGATCTAAATGAAAGCACCATGACTGCAAGCACAAATGAGGAATTAGATTGATAGAGCTCAGGATTAAGATGGTAGAAGCTTCATCAAGTAAATCCATAAGCCACTCAATCCAACCCTCAGGAGCATACACCAACCATATATTTAATTAGTAGCCACTACAATCAAACCTCAACAAATTGTTAAAATAACCCATGTAGTAGAGGATAACACCGCCACACCCATAGAGAGGCATCAGGTTAACAGAGGCAGCACACCATAGACACAGCAGAGAAACATAATCCTAAGACCCAAAAAAAAACCATCATAAAATCCCCAGCTACACAATAGGGATACTCCAAGGAGTCACAAAAAATAAGGTCAAAGACATTCCAACAAATGACTTGAAACATAATCCAAATCCCATCCAAATTATAACCACATCCCCCAGTATTCTAGCAATACACCCTGAAGGGAGGAGAGCACCAATGGGATAACTCTCAGCACCAAGGACCTTACAATCATTGCTCAAGTCTAAATCCATCCAGACCACAGCTATATCATTCCCAACTAACCCAAAACCCCAACCAAGGAATAATAGCCAATTATTAAGCCCCCAACACCCGCAACAGAACACACAGGTGCAACCTACAAACATAACAAAAGAAGACCACCAACCAGAAATGCCAGAAGTCAGGAGAATAGGAAAAAAATAGAAAAAAATCAACATAGAGAAGTACTGGAAATTCCAACATAATAAGAAGCACCATCTCTGAAGACCAATATCAATCGAGACTAACCTAGACCTAGATAAAAGAGGCAAATCATCACAAAAAATAAACAGAATAAACCTAGAACCAAGAAGAGGGTACAAAAATAGCGGAATAGTCCAGCAA